TAGAGCGTCGGTCTGCGGACTGAAAGGTCCCAGGTTCGATTCCGGTCGAGGGCATGTACATTGGTTGTGAGCACATCTCCGGTAGGGGGTGTAGAAGAGGCAGCTGGTCGATGTTTCTCTCTCATCAACGTTTCTAGCTCTCTATCTCTCTCCCTTCCTCTCTGTAGAAAATCAATAAAATGTATTTTAAATATTCTGGTCTATGCTAGAACCTTTTCTTGTTTGGGTGTTTGACTAACTACTGATGTTCTCTGGTTGTTATTTAAGCCACATTCTTCTTAACAAACATTAACTTAGGAATGGATCTAGTCTGTCTTAGCATTCAGAAAGGAAAGGAGAACCCAAAAGGTTTCCCCCCTCCCTTCCTAGTTAATTTTTAAAAACTAATCGAACAGGAAATATTTTCTTAAGTTTAGCTCGGGATGCAGGAGTGGACATCATTTGTGGAAAACATGTTATTTGTGGTGATACATCTGAATAGGAGCTAATGGGTGGGCACACCATCCCAGGTGACTTAAAAACATGGGGAGGCAGGTCCACAATAATCTGAGCTCTAATTGAGTATTTACAGGTGAGAATAACTCAGAAACTCTGGGTTGTAATCTAACTAAAACTTAATATAAAAACCAACAGAAGCCAAATCTCATTAAAACTAAACTAGCAAAACAAAATATAGTGGCAGGAAATGAGGAAATTAATCAGGTAGATGGCATGAGGTCATAGGACAAAGTCACCTTTAAAAAATGTTTTTAAAGGTTAAGTTAGAAGTTAGTATAATCCCATTTCCCATACATTTTTGGTGACATTTTAGAGGATATCTTTTGTGTGTGTGTGTGTGTGTGTGTGTGTGTGTGTGTGTTTATGTTCATATAAATGGCATAGTCACACATACTATGTTTATTGTAGAAAAAAATCGTTAATAAGATGAATAAAAATAATGAATTAATTATACCCGATTTGGCTCAGCATCAGCCTGCTGACTGAAGGGTCCCGTGTTTGTTTTTGGTCAAGGGCACATGCTCAGGTTGCAGGCTCAATCCCTAGTAGGGGCCTATCAATGATTCTCATAATTAATTATGCCCTCCCCCTCCCCCCTTCTTTCTCCCCTCCCTACTCCCTCTCCTCTCCCTCAACTCCCCCTTTTCCCCTTCCCCTCCCTCTTTCTCTCTGAAATAAATAAAATATATACACACACACACACACACACACACACACACTCTAGAGGCTCGGTGCACAACATTTGTGCACTCAGGGGGGGTCCCTCAGCCTGGCCTGCACCCTCTCGCAGTCCGGGAGCCTCAGTCGAACATCCTTAGCATTTGTGCGGAGGCGGGAGAGGCTCCCGCCACTGCCGCAGCTCTCGCCAGTCATGACCCTGGTTTCTGACTAAGTGGTGCTCCCCATGTGGGAGCGTACTGACCACCAGGGGGCAGCTCCTGCATTGAGTGCCTGCCCCCTGGTGGTCAGTGCATGTCATAGTGACTGGTCGTTCTGCCGTTTGGTCAATTTGCATATTAGCCTTTTATGCCTGTGGGATCAGGCCGAAACTGGCTCTCTGACATCCTCCGAGGGGTGTTGGATTGTGAGAGGGCACAGGTCAGGCTGAGGGACCCCCCCTGAGTGCACAAATGTTGTGCACTAGTGCACAATCAGGGCCGGGGAGGGACCGCAGTAGAGCTCCAAGGCATGTCCGGCCTGTCTCGCTCAGTCCCAATTGGCTGGACCCCAGCAGCAAGCTAACCTACTTATCGGAGCATCTGCCCCTGGTGGTCAATGCAGGTCATAGCAACTGGTTGACGGGTTGACTCTCTGCCCCCTGGTGGTCAGTGCACATCATAGTGAGTGGTTGAATGGCCATAGCATTCAACTGCTGCTGTAGAGCCTAAGACTAATCATATTATATGCTCTATCATTAACATAGTATGCTTTGATTGGTTGATTGGACAACCGGACACTTAGCATATTAGGTTTTTAAAATATAGGATAGGATATAAAAAGAGAATAAACTATATTGTTATCTTCGAGGATTAAATACTCAAAATAGGAATTTAAGTGATAAGTATCCTAGCATCTGATTGGCCATAATAATTTAATCCACTGATTTTCAGTAACAATACAGATGTTTGGGATGTTTCTGAGATCCTCATTCTGTTGATGGGGTCCTGGTGTCTGCATTTTTAAGAAGCATTGAAACCAGGTTAGGAACTACTGACAAGGAATCCTCTATGCTCCACACAGATTCTTGATGTATATGCAGTGTCATGCTAAGAAAATCATATGGAGATTAGGGAAGGGGATAATGGGGAGCAACTGCTCAATAGTTATCTTGTGGAGTGATGAAATTTTTTGGAACTGGATAAAGCTAGTGGTTGCACAACATTTTGAATAAGTTCCATTGAAGTGTTTGCAAAGGTGGTTTATTTTATAGTATGTGGCTTTCACCTCAGGAAAAGTACCCTGAAAAAACAAATCATATGAACACTATTTTTGTTGTGTTAGAAAATAAATTATCCCTGTTTAGATTGATTAACTTCTGTCTATTGTATTTTTTTTAGGCATTTCTCTTAAATTAAGGCATTTGTGTTTATAAAATGCATCTTATCAGTAGTACCTTTTGAAGCCTAGTAATATTTTCTCCTTAATTAAAACGCCACCATTTTTTTTATGATTGTATACAGCATCAGGTGACAGCAGTAAGAATCCTGCACTTGGAAGCAAAATTCTTGGAATTGGAAGCCCAGTTCTGTCCCCGTCAGCTGAGACTTGCCTTCCTGGTCTCTTTTTGGTCCTCCTATCCCAAAATTTCACTGAAATTTAAACTGAACTTCCACATGTCATTGTTATGGAGTTATTAGAAGCCTGATGCATGAAGATTCATGCTAGAATGGGCTCCGGCTCTGCTCCTTTCCTCTCAGCCCCGGAGCTGCCTCTTTCTGCTCTGGCCCTGCCTTCCCATGCTACCCAGAGGCCCTGAGAAACCGGGGGAGGGGCAGAATGCCCCCCCCCCCGTCATTTGGTGTCTGTGTACACAAATGAACTGTCTTCTTTGTTGGGTTAATTTGCATATCACTCCTCATTGGCTGGTGGTGTAGTGGAGGTACGGTCATTTTTACATATTTGTTATTAGACAAGATAATTTTTAATTGATTTTTGAGAGAGAAACATCAATTGGTTATTCCACTTATTTATATATTCATTGGTTGTTTTTTGTGTGTGTCCTGATAGAGGATCGAACCCACAATTTTGGAATATCAGGACAACCTGTAATCAACTGAGCTACCTGGCCAGGGCCTGTAGTTATCATTTTGTTTTTTAGCTTGGAGTCAGCAAAATCCAACAATGGGTTAAGAAAGGTACTACTGGATAGTAAATGAATTATTGGACAGTTTATAACTTACAGTGTTAATCATTATATTAGTTATGAATTTATTAAGGCTAATTACAGATATTAAATGTTTTCAAGGATAATAGGGAGATGAACTTTCAAGGATGTGGCTTGTTCTTAGTACTGAAATACATAAAGCATATGATGCTTTTCTAGTTCCATGAATAGGAAGCTGTCTGCCTAATTCATTTGTAGCTATTCTGAATTTGCTTAATATAACTATTCTGAATTTGCTTAATAGCTATTGGTAGATCTATTTAGGATCCCCTTTGGGTTCCTTGTGTTTTCTTTTAGTTTAAGGAAGCTACTTGACTTTGTTGAGAACTAACAATCTTGTCAATAGTGACTAAATGGTAGGCTTCTCCTGGGAAATGTGAACTTGGGAAATTCCTAAGACGATTTTCAATAGTATGTACATAAAAGTGTGTTAACTGGCAAGTATTTCTGGTTAATAGACATGAGGCTATATTTACCAACTTCATTGTATAAAACTACAGAACATATAATGAATGTGACAGGCATGTGAATATATGTCTCAGAGCACCAGGACCCATTACAGGAAAGGAGGATGGAAGTCAGTGTTTGTTTAGTGTCTTTTGTGCTTTCTTTCTTTTTTTATGTTAATCCCACAATAGGTCTAAAAGCTAGATATTTACTTATCTTAGAGAATAAAAGTATGGGCTCTACCCCTAATAGGCTGCTGTGATGATGATGATGATGATGATACTGAAGAAAAAACAGAGGTTAACAGGAACTTTCCTTGAAAGGAAATGGTGAGGCTCTGACCCCAGACTCTGCCTCTTGCCTTCACACCAAGCTGCCTCCCATCTATTACATACTATGGGTAAGAGAATAGAACTGACAGTGTAAACTAGAAGTATGTTTTGGTATTTTTTAAAATATATTTTATTGATTTTTGTGCAGAGAGGAAGAGAGAGGGATAGAGAGTTAGAAACATCGCTGAGAGAGAGTCATCGATCCACTGCCTCTTGCACACCCCCTACTGGGGATATGCCTGCAACCAAGGTACATGCCCTTGACCGGAATCGAACCTGGGACCCTTCAGCCCCCAAGCCGACGCTCTATCCATTGAGCCAAAGCGGTCTCTGCTGTTTTGGTATTTTTAAGTAATTGCCTTTTACCTTGTGACAGTGAACTGCAGCACTTTTTTCTCTCCAGTGCACCCGAGGGACTTCTCACTAGGCCAGTGACAAATAGAAAATACTGAAGAACAGAAAATAGACCACCCAGAAAATAGCCTCCACTATACTACACTGACTACATATACACATTTCAAGATATCAGTATACTGGGTTACTTAAGGCCTGAATGAGAATTAGGCAACTGGTAAAGTGAGAATAGTAGTTGCTGTTTTGTAGTTTAGTAGATAGAGGTGCTTTGCCTTATTGAGGCAAGGTTCCTATCACAGACTCGTTAGGAATTGTTGCAGGAGTTTCAGTGATAACATCTGATAGCACTCTCCAAATCAAACAGAGTTTAAAGAAGAAACTGTCTATGTGAGAAATTCCAACTTTGAAACATCTTCCATTTGTTCCCAGGAAAGATCCTGTTGGAGGCTGTTCTGTGAATCAGAGGAGAAGGGACAGGAGTGAGCATGTCGGCCCTCAATTGGAAGCCCTTTGTGTACGGAGGGTTGGCCTCCATCACGGCTGAATGTGGTAAGGAGCCCAGGGGCTGGAGTCGGCCTATTCACCCGCTGTACGTGACGGTGATTTTAAAACCGAAGGTTGCAATTGGTGTTTGATGTGAATATAGTTCAAGCATAGAATATGAGATTATGACTATTAATCTCAGAATTCAAAATTTCCTACTTTTGGTATGCTTTTTTAGACAAATAGTCATTTTGGCAACTTGTTGCCAGTTTACAGTTCAAAGTTTAGTGGGGAGAAAGTTGAACCTGTTGAACAAACAGAAGTTTTATGAATCATTTTTGAATTACATCAGTTCCTATTTTCCTTGTATGCTTCCTTACTTTGTCCCCACCCTTAACACATTTGGCTGTAAAGAAGTTTGAGGAGCGCCAGGCTGGCGTGGCTCAGTGGTTGAGTGTCGACCTATGAACCAGGAGATCACAGTTGGATTCCTGGTCAGGGCACATGCCCAGGTTGCAGGATTGATCCCCTATGTGGTGTCTTTAGGAGGCAGCTGATTGGTGATTCTCTCTCATCATTGACCCCTCCCTTCCTACTTCCCTCCCTGGACCTTTCCTCCTTTTTTCCCTTTCTTCCTGAAATCAATAATAATACTAATAAAAAAGAAGTTTGAGGATCTCAAGGCTTTCCTGAGCTAGATTCCATTTTCTGTCATTATGCCATCCCTTTCTGAATATGCACGTGATCTAGATCCTATTTGTGACTTGTTCACATTAGTAGAGGTCCACATCAGGGTCTGTTTATTCCCTGGAATCATTCAATCAACAACAAAAATTTTTTTTTGGCGGGGGGGGGGGGGGGGGCCTTCTGGTAAAAGCCAAAAGACCTGCTGGACAAATTTAAAAAGAGCTGTAAGCATTCAATCAACAAATATTGATTGAGCAGCTGCCGAGTGCCTGGTGCTGGGCTGGACACTTCATTTGCTTCAGGGCTCAGTCACTGCTGTTCTGGGACGAAGGCTGCCCCTGAGGGTCCAGGGAGGAGCAGTGCCCAGGGGTTGAGCTGCTCATGTGGGTGGGCTCTCCCATTGACAGAACCCATCACATTTCCTGAGTACGAGTGTCACATGTTCGGGTGAACTATCTGTTAGGCACTATATTAAACTTTTTACTCTAGCAGAGTTACTTTTAGACTGTAGAACATAGAGTGAGAACTGCTTTGAAACTGAATTTATCTCTTCCTTCATAATCCCAATTTTAGCCTTCACATGTACAAAAAATAACTTATGTTTTATTTTCCTTATTTGTATTATTTTAATCCTCACCCTAGGATGGATATGAACACACACACACACACACACACACACACACATATATATATATGTATGGTCTGGTGCACGAAATTTGTGCACCGGGTTGGGGGCAGCCCAGCCTGCACCCTCTCCAATCTGGGACCCCTTGGGGGATGTCTGACTGCCAGTTTACACACAATACAATATACAGATGATGTGTTATAAAATCATACACCTTAAACTATTATATTGTAAATCATTGAGCTGAATAAAAGACATTGATCACTCCGGCAGTCGGACATCCCTCTCACAATCCGGGACCGCTGGCTCCTAACCGCTTGCCTGCCTGCCGGATTGCCCTTAACCACTTCTGCCTGCCAGCCTAATTGTCCCCTAACCACTCCCCTGTCAGCCTGATTGACACCCAACTACTCCTCTGCTGGCCCAGTCGCCCCCAACTACCCTCCCCTGCCAGCCTGATCTCCCACAACTGCCCTTCCTGGCCATGACCTACCTCCTCCGCTAGGACCCACCTCCTCCATGCGTGGTGGCAGAGACGCCTGGACCGGCTTCCTCTGCCGCACAGAGCCTCGGGACCCAGGCCTCGCTGCACAGAACGGTCACCGGGCCCCGCCTCCACTGTGCATGCAGCCATCTTGTGGTGGCCAATTTGTAATGACATTGCAAGGGCACGAAGACCTCCTAGGCTTTTATTAGTGTGTATATATATAAAAAAAAAAATAGTGTGTACACACACACACACACACACACACACACTCTCTCTCTCTCTATTTTTTTAAAATTTATTTGAGAGAGGGAAACAGAGAAACAGAAAGAAACATCAATTGGTTGTATCCAATTGTGTGTGTATATAAACATACACACACACACTCACACACACACACACACTATTTTTTTAAAAATTTATTTGAGAGAAGGAAACAGAGAAACAGAAACATCAATTGGTTGCATCCCAACTGGGGATTGAACCTGAAACCTAGGTATATGCCCTCACTTGGAATCAAACCCTGCAGCTTTTTTAGTGAACAGAAGGGTGCTCAACCAACTGAGCCACCCAGACAGCCAAAATGACTTATATTTAAACATGGATTTTTTGATTATCTAAATAATTCCATCTGTCTACTTTTTTTTTTTAATATATGTTTTATTGATTAAAAAAAATAATCTTTATTGTTCTTATTATTACAGATGTTCCTCTTTTTTTACCCCCTTCCTCTGTTGCTCCCCTCCACCAGGTTCCCACCCTACCCTCTGCCCTTTCCCCACCCATCATTGTCCTCATCCATAGGTACACAGTTTATGTTCAGTCTCTTCCCACATCCCCATCTCCCCTTTTCCTCAAGAATCGTCAGTTCACTCCCCTTCCATACCTCTGATTCTATTCACCAGTTAATATTGTTCATCAGATTTTTAAAAAAAAATTTTTTGGTTTTTAGATTCACCTGTTGATAGTAACATATTTGTTGTTCATAGTTTTTATCTTTATTTACTTTCTCTTCCAAAAGAATTCCCTTCAGCAATTCATATAATTCTGGTTTGGTGGTGATGAACTCCTTTAGCTTTTTTTTTTATTGGTGAAGTTCTTTATCTGGCCTTGGATTCTGAGTGATAGCTTTGCTGGGTAGATTATTTTTGGCTGTAGGTTCTTACTATTCATCACCTTGAATATTTCTTGCCATTCCCATCTGGCCTGCATGGTTTCTGTTGAGAAATCAGCTGACAATCGTATGGGTGCTCCTTTATAGGTAACTACCTGCTTTGCTCTTGCTGCTTTTAATATTCTCTCTTTGACTTTTGCTCTTGGAATTTTAATTATGATGTGTCTTGGTGTGATCCTCTTTGGATTCCTTTTGTTTGGAGTTCTGTGCGCTTCCTGGACTTGTAAGTCTAATTCTTTCACCAGGTGGGGGAAGTTTTCTGTCACTATTTCTTTCAGTATGTTTTCGATATCTTGCTCTCTCTCATCTTCTGGAACCCCCATAATTCTGATGTTGGTTTGCTTGAAGTTGTCCTAGAGTTTTCTTACATTATCTTCAACTTTCTGGATTCTCTTGTCTTCTTGCTTCTGCGGAGGAGTGTCTTCTGGCTCTTTATGTTCCAAGCCTTTGACTTGATTCTTGCGATCTTCCATTCTGTTTTTAGGACTCTGTATAATATTTTTTATTTCAGACAATGTATTCTTTATTTCTTGTTGATCCCTCATTATTTCTAGTTGATCCCTTTTTTTTTTTTTCACGTCAGACGGGTCTTGTGCCAAAGGCGTAACAAGGCTAATGGGAGGCACATCTCACACAGCCGCGTGAACACCCAATCATCACTCTTATGAACTCCAAAAGGTTCTCAAGTTGATCTCTTTTCATATCCTCATAGGTCTCGTTTATTTTATCGGCCTTTTCTAGGAGATTCTTGAACAACATTATAAGTGTGGTTTTGAACTCCATATCCAGTCGCTTTTTGTCCTCCATTTCTTTCATTTGTGATCTATTTTGTTGTCGCATTTCGCAGCTACAGATGGGGCGGGGTTTCAGAGTGGAACCTACAGCCTTGGCTTTCGTCAGCCATGCCCTATGCGGCTCCTGAGTCTCAGTATTCTTCGGGGTCTTTCAGTACTGGCTGCAAGCACCTCTGAGAGTGAGGTGCCCTCGAGTTTCGCCTGCTACCAAACAGTCTAGTCTCTCCCCCAATGGGCCTGGAACTGGGGTTCAGTTCACTTGGAAGTGGGATTGGAGGTGGCGTTCAGAGCTATCTGGAGCCCCTGTCTCCTTCCTACCAGGGCAATCTGGCAGCAGAGTCAACAGTCCGTCCTCTGTGCGCAATGTGCGCGCCTCCGGGGCTCTGCCTTTCGCTGCTCCCCCAGGGTTTCGCCTCACAGCCCAGGCTCCCTCTGTTTGAGCCTGGGTCCCCAGGATCTGGCCTAGAACTGGGGTTCAGAGCAGTCGGAACTGGGACCCAGCACAGTCGGAACTTTTATCTCCTTCTCGCTAGGAAACGCCAGCCAGGCAGTCAGCCTCCCCTCCTCTCCGGCTCCGTGCCCTCCACGTGCGTGCAGCATGTCTCTGTACCTTTGGCTTTTACAGCTCCTCTGCTCTTCCTTCTGGTTTTCTCCTTGCTTCTCGTAGAATTTCCAGTCAGTCAACTTTCCTGTAGTTCTGGGTAATGTCCATTTTATATTTTATTTATTTATTTAAGCGTATTTTATTGATTTTCCACATAGAGGAAGGGAGAAGGATAGAGAGCTAGAAACGTTGATGAGAGAAACATTGACCAGCTGCCTCCTACACACCCCATCAGGGATATGCCCGCAACCAAGGTACATGCCCTTGACCGGAATCAAACCTGGGACCTTTCAGTCCGCAGGCCGACGCTCTATCCACTGAGCCAAACCGGTTTCGGCTTCATTTTATATTTTAGTTGTATTTTATTGAAATTGTTGTGTGCGGCTGCGGTTAGGTGTTTACCTGTGCAGCCATCTTGGATCCTCCTCCCATCTGTCTACTTTTTAGCAATGTGGTTTCCTTAAATCCTATGTAGAATAAGATAGAACATAAGTAAAAATGTTAAAAAAGGAAAATACACCTATGCTTTTAAAAAATCTTTTTGGCCGAAACCTGTTTGGCTCAGTGGATAGAGCGTCGGCCTGTGGACTGAAAGGTCCCAGGTTCGATTCCAGTCAAGGACATGTATCTTGGTTGCGGGCACATCCCCAGTAGGGGGTGTGCAGGAGGCAGCTGATCAATGACTCTCTCTCATTGATGTTTCTAACTCTCTCTCTCTGTCCCTTTCTCTCTGTAAAAAATCAATAAAATATATATTAAAAAAAATCCTTTTTGTTTCCATTTTTTAATAAAAAAAAGATTGTTTCTTAGTTTACATTATAGTCTAAATGTCTCTTTAGTAATATGTCATTATGTATCCCTTACTTAGTGGACTTTCTTTTCATTAAGTGAAAATATTTCTTTAAATTTTTAAGGTACATTTCCAATTGATTTAACTAAGACACGGCTCCAGATTCAAGGCCAGACGAATGATGCGAACTTTAAAGAAATTCGATATCGAGGAATGTTGCATGCATTAGTGAGGATAGGCAGAGAAGAAGGCCTGAAAGCTTTGTATTCTGGGTAAGTGACCTTTGTATATATTTTACTGTTGACCTTTCAAATGAAAATCTTTCAGACTAAGACCTCATAGAGAAAAAGTAAAAGTTTGAGATTTATTTTTAAAAAGCAAGTAACAACCCTCCTACAAAGGCGTGTCTGTGGTTCCCTGTCTTTGGACACGTAAGAATTGGAGGCAAAGAAATGTGGACTTGAAGAAGTCTGGAGCCAGCTTGCTCCTTGCAGGCTCAAGATCAACCATCCCACACAGAAGAGATGAGAAGAGAAGAGAAGAGGAAGGGGGAAGGGGAGGGGGAGGGGAGGAAAAAATAAATAAATAAATAAATAAATAAATAAATAAATAAATAGCAAGTAACATGTTAGGTTTTTCTTTTTCTTTTTTTTAAAATTTTTATTGATTTCAGAGAGGAAGGGAGATGGAGAGATAGAAACATCAATGATGAGAATGATTGATCGGCTGTCACCTGCTGGGGTTAGAGCTCACAATCCGAGCATGTACCCTTGACTGGAATCTAACCTGGGAACCTTTAGTCCACAGGCTGACACTATCCACTGAGCTTAAGCAGCTAGGGCAGTACTTGAATTTTCTACACTTCTGGCCGAGAGGAGCACTGAAGGGTCTGAGTAGAGGGACTGCGGTGACTAAGTTTCATTGTTAAAAAAAAATGCCTGCTTGCCGTGGGGAGGAAGAATTAGAGAATAGTAACACTGGAAGCAGGCAGTCACGTAGGAAGTCGAGACAAAAAGGATCTGACCTGGGGTGGTTGTTTTCAGGATGGAGTAAAAGAAGACAGTTTAGAAAACTAGTTGGGGCACAGGATTGACATATTGTTTGACATAATAATGAGGGGGTTTGTGGAGGAGTCGGAGTCAAAGCTAATTTCTTGATTTCTGGTTTGGCCATTGTCTAGGATACAGAAGAGGAGAGGTGATTGTTTAGACAGGGAAGATAATTAGTGCAGTGTGGGTTACCAAATTATGGAGGTAGGTTAGGGTTGACAAATTAGGAAGAAGTTGTAAATGTATCTTTGGATCCGTGTTGGAAACATGAATTTAGGAGTGATCAGTTAAAGCCATGGCTGTAGTTGAGCTCACCCAGGCAGTGCGTGGAGCAAGGGGAAATGAAAGCATAGGACAGATTCGGGGACACCCCAGAGGACAGAGGTAGGATGCTGTATACAGTGCGCAGGAAAGAAAAGAAATGGGAGAGGGCGATGTGGCAACTCAGGGAGGAGACAGCTGCAGGAAAGACAGAGGACCTGCTGATTGAAAAGCATCATTTAATTTAGCAACACAGATGTCAGTTGGCCACCTGTTTTGATGGAGAAGGTGGAAGGAAGCCAAATTGCAGTTTGAGAAGGAAGTGGGAAATGCTGAGAGCTGGGAGTACCAAAGCACAGGTGGTTCTGGAGTCAGGGAGGGAACTGGAGGGAGAGGAAAAGGCTGAAACAGGCCTTCCCAGGAGGCAGGAGGTGAGCTCCAGAGCATCAGTGCAAGAACGATAGATGCTTCCAGAGGCCAGACTTCATTAGGTGCACTGTACTGAGAAAGCAAGGCCTCTTTTCATTTTAACATGAATGGGCAAATAGAACCACATATTCACTTACAGTCTCATTGAGAATAAATATGAGGGGCTGAGTTTTCACTTAGTGAGTTAATAATTTGCTCAGGTATTTATAACCTTTTTGGATTATCCCTACCCTATTTCCCCGAAAATAAGACACGTCATATTAATTTTTTCTCCCAAAGTTGCACTAGGTCTTATTTTCAGGGGATGTCTTATCTTTCCATGCACTAGGTCTTAATTTCGGAGGATGTCTTATTTTCGGGGAAACACGGTATATACTTTTTAAAACTATGTTGCCCAGCTAGTGTGGCTCAGTGGTTGAATGTTGACTCATGAACCAGGAGGTCATGGTTCAATTCCTGGTCAGGGTACAGGCCTGGGTTGGAGGCTTGATTCCAGAATGGGGGCATGCAGGAGGCAGCCAGTCAATAATTTTCTCTCATCATTGATGTTTCTATCTTTCCCTCTTGGTTTTTCTCTGAAATCAATAAAAAACAATTTTAAAAACAAGTTTTTGTTGGATTTTTAATTTTAAGACATCTGTTTTGTGTAGTTTGTAGAAGGCAAATGGGTGATTGATTGTATCTCTGCCTGTGGGTCTTCTGAAGATTGTAAGTGATTTTTAGAATTTTTTTTTGTCCCTTTATACTTGGTTTGACAGGATTGCCCCTGCGATGTTACGCCAGGCTTCCTATGGCACCATCAAAATAGGCACTTACCAGAGCTTGAAGCGATTATTTGTGGAACGCCCTGAAGGTCAGTGGCAGATCTTTTTTCTACTTGTAGACAGGAGGTAGGTTGTCTTTTTATTCAAGTAATTTTATATCAGATTTTCTGTGATTCACTTGACTTTGCTCCTGAGGAGAGCTCTAGGTGTGAAGTCTAAATGAATTGTGCTTACAGCAAGTCAGTAATTAGCTGAATTTAGGAGAAAATTTCAGTTAAAAGGAGAAAATACTTAGACTAGAGAATATGTTATTGTTCTAGCACAGTGGTTGGCAAACTCATTAGTCAACAGAGCCAAATATCAACAGTACAACAATTGAGATTTCGAGAGCCAAATTTTTTAAATTTCTTCTAATGCCACTTCTTCAAAATGGACTTGCCCAGGCCGTGGTATTTTGTGGAAGAGCCACACTCAAGGGGCCAAACAACTGTATGTGTCTCGCGAGCCGCAGTTTGCCAACCACAGTTCTAACCAATGCAAAATTTTCTAAAATCATAGGAATTATCATCTGTATGTCATAAAAGCAGTGAATACATTTCTTAGTATTAAGAACTGAGTTCTAATACTCCATTGCTGGTTGACTCTGTGACTGCTTTAATCCATAGAACCTTATCTGTTTTTACAAAGGAGCAAGCTCCAGCTAGCTGTTATGTGAGAGTAGTGAACAGGAGCTAAGATGCCTTGAAAGTGCTTCATTATATTTTACGTTAAGTATGTAAGATGTGATACCTTAATCAAGGAAATTTTTAAAAAATTAAAAATAAAATTTGGGTTTGGGGAAAAATAAATAAATGTATAAGATGTACTTTAAAACTTTGTCACCACATTATCTCATAGGAGTATTCCTCTTTTATTCTCCCTACCAGACATACCTCATTTTAATTACTATTATGATCTGCATTTACACACAAAAGTGAATTGGTAGATGATTATTTACTTTTGGAGATAATTCACATTCCTTTTCAGATTGCAAGAAACTTTGCTAGGTAAAATCTCTTTAGCCAGCAAAATTTCTAATCCTTTTGAAATTTCTTGATTCGTAAGGTCTAAATTTCTTTATTCTCTTAAGGAACAAATGGTATGTAAATGAGTTACACCTGTATGTGAGGTGTTCACATGAAGAGCTCTGTATATATGAAAGTCACATAATGTCTTTGTTTGCAGATGAAACCCTTCTGATAAATGTGGTCTGTGGAATTCTCTCTGGAGTCATGTCCTCAGCCATTGCCAATCCAACTGATGTTTTGAAAGTAAGCAGTGCTCTCTGTATCTATAGATATAATCTACATTTTCTTACTGAGAACAAGATTCAGATAATGAAAATCTGCGAATATAACATACACTGTGTGTATGTGTGACTCTGTTTATAATTTAAGTATTGTGAAGACTAATGTATAAATATCCACTAGGTAGGTTTCCCATTGATATGAAGTAGAGCTCATTTTAGAGATGAGTATTTTGAAGATTAAGCAGAAAAAAAAATTTAGGTTTGGATTCATTTGAATTTTTCATTGAGAATCACCTTTGTTTTATTGGTTCATTAAAAAGTACATGGGCTTCAAATTTTCAGAAGTCTGCTTATTAATAACCATTTCTAAATGTATTGTTAGGTTAATTCAATTTCAGGAAATACTAATGGAAATATTTACTTAAACTACAATTAGACACAATAGATGACCTTGTTGACAATCCTAGGGATTATGAGAGCCTTCTTAAGTCCTATTTGGAATAAGGTAAGGGAATAAATTCATTAAAGAAAATAAAAATTAGTTGTGAGTTACTTTTTAAACCTTCTTATATACTCCTCTTTCTTCCTCCATTTCCTTTTTCCCCATATTATTTAACCAGAATTCACTGTGCTTTTACCTTGGATCAGATGGAGTAATTTTAGTGTTTAGAATCCAGAAATGAGTAAGACAAAAAACCCTTGCCCTGAGAGAGCCTTCAGTCTGATAGGACAGTGGTCAGCAAACTATGGCTCGTGAGCCACAGCTCTTTGGCCCTTTGAGTGTGGCTCTTCCACAAAATACCACGTGCGGGCGCACACATACAGTGCGATTGAAACTTCGTGGCCAATGCGCAGAAATCTGTTTTCGGCTCTCAAAAGAAATTTCAATCATTGTACTGTTGACATTTGGCTCTGTTGACTAATGAGTTTGCCGACCACTGTGATAGGAGATTCTGACAAGCATAAAAACTTTATGCAGCAGCATGTTGAGGACACTAGTTCTGCATGGTGAAGGTACAATGTGTGCAGGCACTCTGACCATAATTTTACCCCATGTTGGTGCGAGATTGCTGGAGAAAAATAACCATACTTCCTTTAATCTCTAAACCATATATCAGGGTTAAAAAAAGGCAGTTCCTGTATTTTGGTTTTTTTTCACATGTTAGCATAGCAATAACAGTTCCTTTTAAGAAGTTAGAGGTAATATATTTGCTCCCTAAACCAAAATAAGGTACAAATTTTTTTTTTTTTTTTTAGTGAGAAATACCTTTTAATTCTTAAAAATGCAAAGAGGGAGAGGGAGAGGGAGCAAATATATTACCTCTAACTGTTATGTTGGAATATTAGTCATGTGAGTACAATGGCCCTTGTAAAGTTAATTTGTAAGTTCAGGTGTAACCATGTGTGGCGGACATCATGTGGCTGTCATGGGACTAACTCGCCGGCTTATCTTTTGATTCAGCTGGTTGGAAATAGCAGGGAGTTGGAGTGACTAAAGAAATATGCTTGTTTATGCTTAGTGCTGCCAGGTATTACTGGGAACTCTTACTAATAATGTTAAACTTTTAGAATTACCATCATATTCTCTCTTTCCTATTTATAACCTATAGGGAAAAATGCCATTTTCTTTCTTTTTCAAAGACTGTTTTAAAAATTAATTTCTTTTTGAAACTTAGTGAGCTATTCTATGCAAGACATTCTAGACTCTGTTTGATGCTTTTTGTTGAATCCAAAGTGCCCAAGAACCAATCCATATGTATTTTAGTTTACTGAGGATATTTAAGCCAGCATTATAGTAATAGTTTAATTATAGTTTTTTCTTGTAATGGTTACTAAACAACAGATTAAATGATTTTTCAGGGATCTGTATTTGGGGAGAAATGTGCTAGCTTCTTTCTCATGTTAGTCTTTAAAATAATTTCTAGATACGGATGCAAGCACAAAACAACACCATTCAAGGAGGAATGATAGGCAACTTTATTAACATTTACCAGCAAGAGGGAACGAGAGGACTATGGAAGGTAAGCTTAAATTGATTCAGCTGATTTAGTTCTTCACTGTTTCCCTTTTTGAATATATTTTTCCTATGTCCATCATTTTATTTAATCCAAATGGAATATTTGGAGTAAGGGAAGAAGAGTGACATCTGCCCCTGAGATATTTTATCTGTAAAATGGAAATATAAGAAATATGTCATGATTTGAAAAGCACCTTTTGAATAATTCATATGTAAGAAATTCTGTGAAGGTTGAGCACTTGTTTACTTTTTTAAAAGTTCTTATGTTCCTGGGGCCCGGTTATGTTGAATTTTTTAACTTAGGTGGTTTCATGCCTTTTAAGTGAATATTGTTAACTAGTGCTTTTTTAAAAAATATATACTTTCATTGATTTCAGAGAGCAAGGGAAAGGGAGAGAAATAGAAACAACAATGATGAGAGAGAACTATTGATTGGCCTCCTGCATGCCTCCCACTGGGGACTGAGCCGACAACCTGGGCATGTGCCCCTGACCGGAATTGAACCTGGGACCCGACCCTTCAGTCTGCAGATCGATGCTCATCCACTGAGCCAAACCGGCCAAGGCTCTATTGCTTTCTTAAATATTCTGATGACTTGTCAGTTAATAGAATAGACCCTAAAGTCACCGGTACTCTCCTCTCTGTATGTACAAGGAAACTGAAGGTTCTGAGAGGTTCCTATCCTGGCCAAAGTCTGTCCAAGGTCATACAGTTAGTGACAAAATCAGAATTCAATGTAAGAGGTCTGACTTTTCACACTCTGGTCTTCTCTACTCTGTATGTGTCTCCCTCCCACCAGGAGAAATGTCTGAATCCCTATTATTAATGTTTTTACCCAGGGCGTGTCTCTAACTGCTCAGAGGGCTGCTATCGTCGTTGGTGTGGAGCTACCAGTCTATGACATCACCAAGAAGCATCTGATTCTGTCGGGCCTGATGGGAGACACTGTGTATACTCACTTCCTGTATGCTTATGGATTTTTAAGTTAATATTTTAGGTATACATGAGTTTAGGGTGAAAATTTGCTACAAATTTATAGAAATTTTAAAGCTATTATAAAAATATATCCTCATATTTGAAAAATTACAGTACAGAAGTAAAGCAGGAAAAATTAACACTTATCCCTTTAAATAGACAGGAATTGTTAACAGTTTGATAAGTACCTTCCAGGTGTTTTCTATGCGTATGCAAATATGTCTACAAAAGTATATTACATGTACTTTATTATACAAATATCATGCTTTGTATCCCTTTCTTTACTTTTTATTATTTTTATTTTTCACCAATTAAGATACAATTGACAGGTAAAATTGAAAAGATATTTAAAGTGTACAACATGATGATTTAATATGTATACATTGTTAAAGGATTTTCCCCTGCAACTTAATTAACATATCTGTCACCTCACATGTTTATCCTTTTGTGTGTGTGTGAAAACATTTAAGTTCTACTCTCTTAGCAGATTTCCATTATAAAATGCAGTATTATCAACTATAGTCACCATGTTATATGCTAGCTCCTCAAACCTTATTATCTTATAACTGAAAATTTATACCCTTTTACTGTCTCCCTATTTTCCCCATCCCCTAGCCACTGGCAACTATTTTGTGCTCTTTGTTTCTATGAGTTATAGTAGTTTTTTAAAAAATATATTCTTATTGATTTCAGAGAGGAAGGGAGAGAGAAACATCGATGATGAAAGAGAATCATTGATCTGCTGCCTCCTGCATGCCCTCTACTGGGGACCAAACCTGCAAACCAGGCATGTGCCTTGATCCAGAATTGAACCATGATCTCCTGGTTCATAGATCAATGCTCAACCGCTGAGCCATGCCAGCTGGGCAAATTAGAGTATTTTGTTTGTTTGTTTGTTTGTTTGTTTTTAGATTTCATGTATAAGTAATACTATGCAATATTTGCTTCTTACTTGCTTTTTAATCCTTACCTGAGGATGTTTATATATGTATATATTTTTTAGAGAAACATAGATGTTAAAGAATCGATTGGTTGCCTCTTGTACTCTCCCCAACCAAGGAACTAACCTGAAATCTGGGTGTGTGCCCTGCCTGGGAATTGAGCCGACAACCTTTTGGTGTGTGGGACAATGCTCCAACCGACTAAGCCACCTGGCCAGGGCTTTCTCATTCGATTTTTAAAATATAATAATATATTCCAAACATCTTTCTGTAGTAGTACAAACAGACTTCATTTATTTTTAATAGCTGCAGATTAGTATTGGATATATCATAGTTTAATCCCCTGAGAAGCGATTTAGACCATTGGGGACATTTGGCAATTTCTAGAGACTGTTTCTAAAGTTATGACTTGGGGAGTACTATTAGCATCTACTGGGTAGAGGCCAAGGAGCTTCTGAACTACTTACAACAGAACAGACCTACACGACAAAGAATTATTGGTTCAAAATCTTAGTGCTGAAGTTGAGAAGTGCTGCTCTGAGTTAGTGATACTAAGTGTGGTCTGTGGTAGTCTTGTGAGACTGAAAGTTTAGTAGAACCTGAGCCCTTAGTGGACATTCCAGTGAGGAAATATTTTTCTCTGATCTTGAAGAAAAATATGATTATGAGATGACTAAAGTTACTCTGATTTCTCCTTTTAGGTGAATAGATGCAATAGATCAGCGATTTTCAATGGGTGTGCCACAGAATTTTTAAAACATGTAATAACTGACTATTTGGTCAGGGTTACTGACTTCTTTTCCATGAGATTGTCAAATAAAAAAAATCACAACAGCCAGCACAACATTAGCTGTCAGTGTGAGTGAATCAAAATTATACTTATTTTTTGTCGGATCAGCAAAAAAAAAAAAAAAAAAAAAAAAATTTTGATGTGCCACAGAATTTTAGTAATTAGCTTATGTTTGCCATGAGATGAATAAAGTTTAAAATCACTGTAATAGCTAAGACGGGTTTGGCTCAGTGGATAGAGTGTTGGCCTGTGGACTGAAAGGTCCCGGGTTCGATTCGGTCAAGGGCATGTATCTTGGTTGCGGGCACATCCCCAGTAGGGCTGGTGCAAGAGGCAGCTGATCAATGATTCTCTCTCATCGACGTTTCTAGCTCTCGAGGAAGAGAGCGGGAGAGAGAGTTTAGAAACATCGATGAGAGAGAATCATCGATCAGCTGCCTCTTGCACCACCCCTACTGGGGATGTGCCCGCAACCAAGGTACATGCCCTTGACCGGAATCGAACCCGGAACCTTTCAGTCCGCAGGCCAACGCTCTATCCACTAAGCCAAACCGGTCCCGGCCAATAAAACATTTTAAAAAATCAAATCATTGTAATAGATCATCCTTGGAGAATGTCCCTTCATGTTTCTATAATTCTTTGACATTCCAGAACCTCCAGTATTTTCTTAGCCAAAGTTGGAATTTATAAGCCAGTATAATCAGTGCTGGTGTTTAAGAAGTTTATATAGCTCTCTAGATAGGGTCCTTATGTTTGTTACGTTTCACACTGTTACGTGTTATAACATAGCTTGGGAGGAGGCCGCTTCCTGTCTTTGATGGCGGTGGTGGTAACCTTTTTGTTTTTCTAATGGTATCTTTCCTAGCTCAAGCTTCACCTGTGGTCTGGCAGGGGCTCTGGCCTCCAATCCTGTGGATGTTGTAAGGACACGTATGATGAATCAGAGAGTCCTTCGTGATGGCAGATGCTCTGGGTACACAGGTACCCTGGATTGCTTGTTACAGGTGAGAATGTCTTATCTGTGTAGGGTTGGCAATTCCTCTCTTAGCTCATTAACTTCCATCTGATCCACTTATCCCGAGTTTCTTATAATTTTAAAACACGGGGTTTATAGTAAGATAGACCTGTGGATCTGTCACTTGTAATTGTGTCAAGATAAAGACTCTATACTTCAGTTTCCTCATAAGTGAAATGGGACAATAATAGCATGTATATCATAGGGTTATTGTAAAAATAATGCCTACATAAAACAGCATAATGCCTGAAATAATTTGGTAAGTCTTATTAGTATAATTAATAATAATAATAAGGGATAGTATTGTGAAATGAGCAAATTTATCCTTCCTGTTGAGTCAAACTGTAATGAGTTTCCTTCATTCAGCCATCTCACAAAGTAGCAACATCAATCTTACTGTAATACTTAGTTTAAATAATCGGACCTATTGCTTACGAGTGTACAAAAGTTTGCCAGTGTCTCCCTTACTGGATTGCCAGCAGCCAAAGATTAGGGGGCACTTTTCTGGTTTTCATTTTCCAGCATGATACTAGACCTTTAAGTATTGCTTTAACAAAGCAAAGATACTTATTTATAATTCATCCATCAACATGAAATAGTGGTGCTCTGAATTATGTCTTTACTATCATGGCTTTGTTTCCTTATGTCTGAGTTTGTGGGCCCAAAGGGAAAAGAGGCAAAAAAACTCTGGTTGGAATTATTAAATCTCATTTCTTGTTCATGTTTGCCTGCTTTGGGTGTGGAGCCTTAGTCGTCACCTGTGCAGAAGCCTTTAAATCCAAAAAGAGGCAGAGGACAATGATTTCTTAGTCCTTCCAAACAGGGTTTTATTTTTTAAGGAAAATACATCTGTTCAGTCGGGATACTATTATTAATTCATTTGACATAACTGGAAAGTTGCAAATTAACTTTTTCTCCCCCTTACAACAGACATGGAAGAAAGAAGGATTTTTTGCTCTATATAAAGGGTTTTGGCCAAATTGGTTGAGACTTGGTCCTTGGAATATCATTGTATCCTTTTCTGTTGTAGTAGAAGTGAAAAAAGATAGTTAAAAATATTGTTTGTATAAAATATCTTGTTATTAATTATAATTTAGAAGTTGGTTTTTAGTCTTTTATGCTCCTCTGATTCAAGAAGTAACTGTTCAGTTCTTTTAAAAATATGTTTTTATTGATCTCAGAGAGAAGAAGGGAGAGGGAAAGAGGGATTGAAACATCAATGCTGAGAGAGGATCATTGATTGGCTGCCTCCTGCATAACCCCTACTGGGAATCAAGCCCAAAACCCGGGCATAGGCCCTTGACCAAGAAATGAACCAAGACCTCATAGGTTCATAGGTTGGCTCTCAACCACTGAGCAACACCAGCTGGGCTGTTCAGTTTCTTTTTCATGAGGTCTAAAATATCTGCTGTTCAGTTTCTTTTTCATGAGGTCTAAAATATCTGTGCTGTTCAGTTTCTTTTTCATGAGGTCTAAAATATTTGTGCTAGGCACTGTGAATCTTGGTTTAATATGGTGTTATTGAAAGGTAATGATGTCAATAAAAATTTTTATTTAGACTTTATTCTAAAAGCTTAGAGTATTTAAGATTTCAGAGAGAGGCCGGGTTGATTTTATATCTCTAGCCACTCAGGAAGGAAGTGGTTTGGTTGCAGTGTTCTATCATGTTTATTTTAGAGAGTACCTAAGGATAAATAGTTATTAGCTCTAGAATTATTTGGCCTATCAATACTATTTCCTGTATGTTAAAGTGGGGGTAGGAAAGAAGTGACAGTTCATTAGACATGAAAGGGCAGAATTATAAGGTAGGGAATGTCACCATCCTCTTGTTTCTCTTCATCTGTGCCTCTCCCCTTATGGGGGCCTGCCTAGCAGAGACCCTTGGGGAGAGCTCCCAGGGCTTGCTGTGTTTCTCTTTCTGTGAGTCTTCCCACCTCAGTAAAGTTATAAAAGCGAGGCAGTGTGGGTATAATCTTAGAAGAAGCTCTCGGGGCCGATGCTAAGGGATTTATGTGTGTATCTTAGCTGTGGTCTTTCTGTTCCAAGCTGACCTTGGGAAGGCTAATGTGTAGATCTTCGGAATGATTAGGGTGGAGCCCTCGTATTTAACCATGTTCGTAGCATGTGTCTTTTCAGATATATCTGTTTGTAGATTTGCTATTTGAAGGTCTGTTTTTATGTTTTTGGGGTTCAGATGGCATTTTCTTTGAGAACCTTAACCAATAATTGTAGTTCTTTGTGACATATGAGCAGCTGAAGAAATTGGATTTATGACAAGTCAAGGCTGCATGAGACATCCCTCTGAAAATGCTAACTTCCAAAGCTTCCTGTGTTTCCCACTGCTTCTCACTGCTTGGCTCATCAAGGATTCTGAGGTGTGAGCAACAGATGAAGACTGGGTTAGTTCCAACTGCTGTGTGTTGGCATCAGCCACTCTGCATTGAACGTTTACTGGCATAAACTGCAACATTCAGACACTAGTTCTTACCATCAAAGTGCCCTTTGACATCAAATATAACATGAAATGCATGTTTTTTGTTAAAGAAAACTTGCAAGAAGATCAGGAACTGTGTGCTGTTTCTTTAGGGGAGAGTAGCACCTGGAGCATCGCAGCTCATAGCTGAGAGTACGGACCGCCCTGAAGAAGCTCGCTGGAACCGTGGAATAGAGCCTCTGGGGGCATTGTCGTTCCTGACCTTGGGGCTTTTGCTTCTTGTCAGCTGAAGAACTCTCACAGGTGGAGACCTGGACTTTTCAACCCTAGGTACCAACTGTACAGGAAATAGAGCCCTGGAATATTGCACTGCTTTATAATTTCCTATTTTGGCAGGATCTTTCACTTATAATAAGTGATTTTAAGCCTTTGAAGACTTGACCTTTGTAAGGAATTGTTACAAAATATTAATATCTAAACTCACGGTGGTGATGTGTTTGGCTATGAAGGTGGCAAGGTCTGTGTTGATGAGAGGTGTTTCAAACAACTTGGGTTCTGTCTTAGGTTATGTTAGTAATTTGTTCTTTGATTTTCAGCAAAGTTTATGTCCCATTCTGGAAATGGGGATAATAACATCTATGGAAATTGGGGTCAAATGAAGAAAATATTAGTTACTACTATTTGACTGTTTGGTAAGGGTGTTTACATTATGCTGTCATACAGCTATAATCTGAGGATAAACAGTCTGTGTGTATGGAACAGTCATTTTATCATGGACTACTCATCATAATTCCGAGGGAAGCCCATTGTTAAAGGCCTTGTGAAAGAAAGAACACTGTATAAGTTAAGGTTTTATTATGTTTTTATTGCAAAGTGTTGAAAGTGAATTAAGAGTTGATTTTTCCAGATTTCCCAGTTTTTACTTTAGTTTGGGCCTTGTTTGTTTAAATATTTCCTATCTTGGACTTCCTAATTATTAGCTTGGATGGCAAATAATGCTTGAAATTTCAGTAACAGATTTATTTGGCATTACACCTGCTTATCTAGTTTCTGATAAGAGGTATATATCTTCTTCTAAAGATAAGATACATCATTCTTCCTCTTCTTTCTTGCCTTTGCCTTACTCAGTTCAAAGTAAAATGTGACTCTGATAGCCCCAAGTACTTGACAATAAAAGAAGACAGCCACAGGAAAGGGAATATATATGTATTGGAGGCCCAGTGCACGGGGGCTCCCTCAGCCCGGCCTGCACCCTCTGCAATTCGGGACCCCTACACCTTTTTCTTATCTAGCTAACCTCTTCACATTTAAAAAAATTAACTGAAATATCAACTACTCTAGGAAATCCTCTTTGAACAAATCTCTTTACAGTCTGTATTAAGTATTTTCATAGTATACCATTCTTTTTCTTTAACAGCTACTTAGAGTGGATGCAGTGTGCTTCTCATTCTTGCTCTGAATTTTTTCTTGTTGCTCATGTAATAGCGAAGCTTATCCAATTTACATTTGCCCTTCAAGGGCTTATATTTGGTTCAGTTTCTATAATAGTTGGCTCCTTGCTTTTATTTTTAAGCAATAAATTTGGGTTGTGGTAGTAAGCCTCACTTGTATCCAGCCTGTAGATCTCTCTGTTTGAATACATATATTTTTTAATTTAATAAATCTTTATTGCTCAGATTATTACAAATGTTTCTCCTTTTTCCCCGTAGCTCCCTTCCACCCTGTTCCCACCCCACCATCTGCCTTTACCTGCCCCACATTGTCCTCATCCATAGATGTACGATTTTAACCCACTCTCTTCCTGCACCCCCACACCCTTTTCCCCCTGATGATTATCAATCCACTCCCTTTCTTTGCCCCTGATTCCAATATATTCACCAGTTTATTCTGTTCCTCAGATTTTTAATTCACTTGACTTTTACATTCACTTGTTGATAGATATGTATTTGTTGATCATAATTTTTATCTTTTTTCTTCTTCTTCCGCTTCTTAAAGAATACCTTTCAGCATTTCATATAATACTGGTTCGGTGGTGATCAACTCCTTTAGCTTTTTCTTATCTGTGAAGCTCTTCATCTGCCCTTTAATTCTGAATGATAGCTTTGCTGGGTAGAGTAATCTTGGTTGTAGGTTCTCGTTATTCAACACTTTGAATATTTCTTGCTACTCCCGTCTGGCTTGCATAGTTTCTGTTGAGAAATCAGCTGATAATCATATGGGTGCTCCCTTATAGGTAACTATTTTTCTTGCTGCTTTATAAGATTCTCTCTTTCTCTTTGCCCTTGGCATTTTAATTATGATGTGTCTTGGTGTGGTCCTCTTTGGATTCCTTTTGTTTGGGGTTCTGTGCGCTTCTTGGACTTTCTTTTTTTTCACAACGTGGGGGAAGTTTTCTGACATTATTTCTTCAAATAGATTTTCAGTATCTTGCTCTCTCTCTCCTTCTGGCACCCCTATAATCCTGATGTTGGTACACTTGAAGTTATCCCAGAGGCTTCTTACACTATCTTCAACTTTCTGGATTCTCTTCTCTTCTTGCTTCTCCAGAGGAGTGTCCTCTTTGTATTCCAAATCTTTGACTTGATTCTTGCATTTCTCTAGAATGCTGCTGTGTCTCTGTATAATATTTTTTATGTCCGTCAGTGTATGTTTAATTTCTAGTTGGTCCTTTTTCATATCCTTGAGGATCTCGTTAAATTTTTTGGCCTTTTCTAGGAAATTCTTGAAAAACCTTATAATTGTGGTTTGGAACTCTCTATTCAGTCTTTTGTTCTCCTCCATTTCTTTCGTTTGAGATCTATTTCCTTGTCTCCTCATTTTCTCTGCTTCCTTGAGTTGGTGGGGTGGCTTTGTGTGTTTGGTGTCCTATATGGCCCGGTGGGTCAGCCTCCCCAGTTACCTGAGGTAGACACTCTTGGTGCTCCCCTTTGTGTACTTTGTGTGCAGCCTTGTTGTAGTTAAGTCTTGATGGTTGTTGGTATCACTGGGAGGAATTGACCTCCAGGCCAGTTGGATGTGAGTATTAACTGTGTCTACATCAGGATACCTTCTGTATTGGAGATAGTCTTATAGGATCAGTCTTGCAAAATTGTAAATGCCTTTGTGCTCAGCTTGGATGAGGCGGAGTTTCAGGGCTGAGCCAACAGTCTTGGCTTCCAGTCAGTCCTGCCCTTGTGCACACACCTCAGACCTCTGCCTTCCGCGGCTCCCCTGAGTTTCCGCCTGACAGTCCAGATTCCCCTTGTAAGGGTGTGGGTGCCACAGGGGCTTGCCCGGAATTGGGTTGGGTCTCTGTATAATATTTTTATTTTATTTATTATTATTTTTTTAAATATATTTTATTGATTTTATACAGAGAGGAAGGGAGAGAGAGAGAGAGTTAGAAACATCGATGAGAGAGAGTCATCGATCAGCTGCCTCTTGCACACCCCCTACTGGGGATATGCCCGCAACCAAGGTACATGCCCTTGACCAGAATCGAACCCGGGACCCTTCAGTCCCCAAGCCGACGTTCTATCTGTATAATATTTTTAATCCCAGTGCAATTGGAACTGCGATTCTGTGCAGTCTGGAGCTTCCGACTCCTTCCACTATGGAGCGGTTGTGGCAACCTCCGCAGTCAGACCTCTCTTCACGCACTCACTTGCACGACTCTAGACCCTGCCCGCTGTGGCTCCCGGCTCCCCCGAGTTTCACAGTCTCTGAGTTTCCAGATGTCTCTCTACAGTCCAGACTCCATCCGTATGAGCCTGGGTCCCTGGGGTTTGGGCCGGGGTTAGGGTTCAGCGCAGTTGGAACTGGGGTTCAATGCAGTCGGGGGCTTCCTTTCCTCTCCCTCCAGCAGGCACTCGGCCGCCCTTCCTCTCTGCACACGCATCTCCCTACCTCGGCACTTTGTGGCTCCCCTGATCTGTGAGCCTCTCTCCTTTCTAGTTCTAGAGTTTCACTCAGCCAGCTTTCCTGTGGGTTTGGATGATGTCCATTCTGTCTTTTAGCTGTTGTTTTGAAATTGTTGTGTGAGGCGCCAGCTTAGGTGCTTACCTAGGCCGCCATCTTGGTTTCTCTGAATATTTCTATAATACCTATCACTTTAGCATACCAGAGATTGTGTTCATTTATAGAAAATAACAATAAATGTCACCCGGTCATTTGATCTTCTAGTAATATTTTATAGCAAGATATATTATTCTAGTAATTTAACTATTACAAAACTGAGGCGTATAGAAATAAATCACATAATATCTAATAAAAGAGTGATATGCAAATTAACCATCACTCCATAACAAAGATGGCAGTGCCCCGTCCTCGCAGCCCCATCTCTGGAGTGTCCAGCCCCGTCAGCTGGGCCAGGGGCCTTGCTGCTCAGGTGCCTCTGGAGTGTGTGGGCCTGTTAGCCGGGCCAGGGGGGTCCAGCCTTGCCGCTCCGCAGCCTCTGGATTATACGGGCTTCCTTCAGCCCGCAGGAAGCCCTATCCTTGCAGGAATCTTTCTGCAACGGGCCTCTAGTTGAACAATAAAGAATGACTCAAATATCAAAGCATAGTACACTGAGGACCTCCCTTGTCCTGTGCCTCAGATATCATAGCATAGTACACAGTTCACGTGGAACTCAGCTTCCTTTAAAATGGAAGGGATGCCATATTCATGAAGCAGCTACTTCCACACTCTTTATTTTTATTTTTATTTAATTCACAGCACATACTCTTTGTACTAACTGTTGGAAAATCACCCTAGCAATCGCCTCTGCTCCTCTCTGTATTGTTGCCTTACATTCTGATGTCATTACTGAACTTTTATCATCCACTTGCTCTGATAGGATAGTGAATTATTTAAGGGCAGA